ACTGCATAGCATCAATGAGAAGAGTAATTGACTGCACTATCTATTAATTCTCGATTCCTTCTACCTAATGTGAGATTCTGGAAGTACGTAGAGGGAATGTAGTAGATATGTCACTGTTCTTAATATTCGTAATAACTAATGGTTCCTTTGTATTTCATTGTGCGACTACTACGAATTCTAAATATTGTGAAATGAGTTTTTGGAGCGAATGTTAGAACTACGGCTTGAAAGTGACTGAGTGTACCATTAAATGGTAGTTGGTTGTTGATCTAGTTGCTCATTGCATCAACAATCACATTTGTGTAGCAATGGATTATGTGATTAGACAGCTGCAAACGCATTCAAATTCTGAAGTCTTCATGGATTTCATGTAAAGATTTGAAATCCAGAGTGTAAGATCCGTTTTGTATGTGAAAATCCCTCCATATACACACCTGTAAAGTATTCCTATTGATTCCTTCAGTTGTACATTTTTTAGTATTTTTGATTCTATTTGAGATGGTAATATTTGTTTTTTTATCATATTTTTTATTTTTTGCGCCTTCACTGAGCTTTCGTGTTTCTTCCGGTACTGCATTTATGTTGTATTAGTTGGTGCTTAGTCTTGGCGGCAGCCATATTGATTTGTTCCACCTTTGATTGTATTGCTTGCATTAACTGGGGTGAGCCCGCCCGCCCTCTCAGAATACTCTCACACGGCCACGCGTACACAGCCTCTGTCAGGGAAGTCCTACTCACTGTCTTCTCGTGGCCACAGTGTTGTTTACGAAAATGAGAAGACGAAAAGCGAATGTCCGGCGCTTTAACCGGATCCCAAACCAATGGTATACGTGGACTCCAGTATCCTGCGGGAAAAAATGGCGTATGAACTAATCGTTGGTCACCGGCTACCATGCGACGGCATCTCCTTACGGTGCTCCCCTGCCTTGTGGATCAGACCTTCAGGTCGAAGGCTCGGGGTGTGGCCTTTTAAGGTAACCACCTGCTTCGGTCTGGGCACCCGGGCAGTATCGCAGCCCACACGCAAATGATGAGCTCTCTATATCTATGGAAACTACTTTTCTCGCTTCAAATAACAATCAAATGATTCAAATGATCATTATTATTATTATTTACTACGTCATTATTCACCTTTTTTTATCCCTACTCACTCTATACTTATTTTTTTCGACTTATACAGCAGCTCGTCTTTGGTGGAAATTCGACTGTATCTAAACGTTCTCGAGTCACTGTCCGGTTGAAAATTGTATGTTACCACCGAACATGAGTACTGAAACAGTTTTTCTGAAACCACGTGCACCATTCAAACTGGCTGCCTTCAACGTTCGCACACTTATGCAGGTGGGACAACAGATAGGGCTGGCTGTGTCTTTAGAAAGTCTTAATATTGATGTTTGTTGTCTATCCGAGACCCGTATTCAAGACTCTGGTGAAGTACTACAAATTCGATCTCCATCTGTCGCTTCGAAAAGCTTGTTTTACGTGCGCTTATCCGGAGACGCTGTGGCATCTTCATCCGGTGTTGCTGGTGTTGGTGTCACACTAAGCGCTAGAGCTGGGGCAGCACTAGTCGATTGGATCCCCATTAACAGTCGGTTATGTGCTGTTAGATTAGAAAGTTCCATCAAATAGAGAAGAAATCGGCGTGAGAAACGATGGCTTTTCGTCATCTCCGCCTATGCCCCGACAGATTGCAGCCCGGATGCAATCAAGGATGAGTTTTACCACCAGTTATCTGTTCTTCTCCAGAAAGTGCGTTCGACAGATATTGTAGTACTAGCCGGAAATTGGGTAAATCTTGCGTAAGGACCGAAAAGCCCGGTGGTCGGAGCGTGCTAATGAGTTGGAAGCGGCAGCTGCATCTGGTAATAACTAGAAGCTCTTCCAACTCATCTGAGCCACTGGCAGCAAGAAGTCTGGTGTGAACGAAACAATCTGTGAGGATGACGCGATGCCAATCACTAACATCCATCGACGTCTTGGACGATGGGCAGAATTTTTCGAAGGGTAGTTCAACTGGCCTGCTGCTCCGGCAACATCGGTTAAACTGTCCTGCCCTCCATGGCCGGTCGCGACTGATCCACCAAATGAGGCGGAAGTCCGCAAGGAACTCCAACTCTTGAAGCGTTACAAATCACCTGGCCCAGATGACTTACCTCCGGCTCTTTTTAAAGATGGTGGTGACTTTCTGACTAGGGAATTGACGACGTTGATTACAAAGGTTTGGAAACTAGAGAGTGTACCAACGTCATGGAATGAGTCGATAGTTGTCCCCATCTTTAAAAAGGGTTCACGTCGTTCCCGTAACAACTATCGGGGGATAAGTCTACTTCCGATTGCGTCCAAGCTATTGGCTTCCGTCATTCTTCGTAGGTTGTTCAAAACTCGAGAAAGATTGACTCGCGAGGAGCAGGCTGGGTTTCGTTCTGGTCGAGGATGTATTGACCATATTTTCAACCTCCGCCAAATGTTAGAACACCGCCATACTTATCAAAGGCCAACAATCGTAGTGTTTCTTGACATCAAGGCTGCCTTCGATTCGTTGTACAGAACTGTTCTCTGGGATTGTCTATTGAAGAAGGGTGTGTCTGAGAAGTTTAGTAACATCCTGAAAGCCCTATATACAAACACCTCAGGCAGAGTGAGGGCATACAACCACCTCTCTCCATTGTTCCATTCGAGCAGTGGGGTTAGGCAGGGTTGCCCAATCTCACCATTCCTCTTCAACTTTGCCATCGATGACAGTCTGGAAACAGCTCTGATAAATGTAAGTAATGGTGGTGTGGATCTGTTGCCTGGAGAAAGACTTCTCGACCTTGAGTATGCGGACGATATTGTCTTACTGTGCGATAATGCCCAAGCCATGCAATTCGCACTTAATCAGTTGGCAATCAATGTTCGTAGGTATGGCATGTGCTTTGCACCTTCGAAGTGCGAAGTACTTCTACAAGACTGGCAGGATTCTAATGCTGTATCCACCCTGGATGGTGAGCAGGTAGAAGTAGTCGAGAAGTTCGTGTATCTAGGTAGCTGCATAAGTGCTGGTGGTGGCGTGAGTGATGAGATCAGTGCACGTACAGTGAAAGCCAGAGCGGCTTATGCCAATCTGGGCCACCTTTGGCGCCTTTGTGATGTTAATCTGGCTGTAAAAGGTCGGATCTACAGCGCGTCGGTGAGAGCAGCTTTACTCTATGCTTGCGAAACCTGGCCTCTCCAAGTTGAGGACGTTAGAAGACTCTCTGTGTTCGATCATCGCTGTCTCCGAAGGATTCCTGACATCCAGTGGCAACACCATGTCAGTAATGCAGAGGTTCGGCATCGTGTATTCGGGCACAGAGACGATAATGCAATCGATGTCACCATCTTGAAACACCGACTTCAGTGGCTTGGGCATGTTCTACGAATGTCGTCCCAGAGAATTCCACGTCGTGCATTATTTACCGACTCTGAGACTGGTTTGAAAAAGCGGAGGTGGTCAGTGTATGACATGGTGTCGGGGTATGAAAGAAAGCTGCAAAGGGTTGGCTTCTGTTGGTCCTTCACGACTCTTTGGCTGGGGTCCGAGAGATGGTGCGGCACAGTGGCTAAAGACTTTATCAGATATGGCTCAGAATAGAAGCCCGTGGCGATACTGCTATAATGTTCTTTCACTTTCTTCATAAAAAGCGGTTGTGTCTTCCTTAACTGAAAGATTTCTTCTAATTGTACCTTTCCGTCCCACCATTTTTACCATTATTATTATTACACCACCTTACATCAATCTCTTCGTTATTATTCTCTTTTTTTCCTTGCCCTTAAATTCTCATTGTTTTGTGTAGCGCATATATATTGGCGCTCTCTTGTACCAATATTTATGTGTTCAAATAAATTATCTTTTGAACAAATCTGTACGTGATGTATCCAGAAAGGAGAGAATATAATTCATTTGTTGTGATTGGTAATTTTCTCACATCCTTTATCAACTTCCTTACTTATTGTAATTTAGATTTGATTAATTGAACAATTATTGGTTGGATAGCTGGGTGGTTATATTTGTTTGGGTAGTAATATACATTTATATTTCCAATTAAATCTAGAACCGTCATTTACCTAATCACATTATTTTGATTTCAACTAGGCAATAGTACCTATCTAAACTACCTAGATAGTTATTCTTCGGTCCAAACCTTAGTCTGGATTCTACACAGAGTATAACTAGAGAAAATGATAACATTGTGGCTCATTTCCTTACATTTTTATCAGAATAGATGCCTATAGTTTACTAAAAAATTAAGCATTTACAGGTAAATCTATCTCACTTTCCTATGGAACTTTTAAAGAACTAATACTAAATCCTGTCATAGGAGTAAATTTTGAATACTCGTCCGAGAAACAAGAATGTTAAAGGTTTGTTCTCATTTTGCAGAATCAACTCTCCAAACGTAATTCTGGTGACCACGTTCTTACACAGTTGCTTAATCGATTGATTTCGGGGATTTACATACCAAATCTGAAAAATAGCTTACACAAATACCAAAATGTTCCTTCCAAGGGGCTAGCACTGCATCTACTCGCTATGGGGCAATACATGAAAATGGATGCTGACAAGATAATTCGTCAATCTCGAGATATTTGTGTCTCAACCCTTCGCAAGTCTAGAAGATCGTACGACGAAAAACTTGTTAAGGATACTATGGAACACCCTAAACGCTTATATTCGTAACTAAACCAAAGGACCAAGAAAAGGGAATATATCCAAGCATTATGGGAAAAATGTAATTCTGCATTATTAGTGGAGAACGATTATGGTAAACCTCGAGTGTTCTCAACTTGCTTTAGTAATTTGTATACCGTAAACATGCTCTCCCTCTCGGTCCATACAAACCCTAAGCTCACACTCTGAACATTGTGATCATTATAGAAATTTCTTCTAAATTAGTTTTTCATCATGGCTCTACACTAATATATATAGAAAGAGGATTAATCATAATCAAAGTAATTATTCGAAAACCAAGAAGTTGCTACGTTGCATAATGTATGAAAAAGATAAGGAACAGAATATTTTAATGGATGGTCAATAGAATAATAGTTATGTAAGAATCAAGAGATCAGTGTTGAGTTTACAAAGTTCAAAAAACTAACTAAATGGAAGAAGTACGAGAAATAGTTCTGCTGCCAGCATTCTTATACCGATGGCCAAGGCAGAGAAAGTGGTTGTAGAAATTTCTTTTGAATGCAAAGATTAGTTTTGTGAACATGGATTGCGATGGTTTCCGCAATGTGCAAAAGGCGCATTCGTAAACCATGTGGTAAATTTGATGGAATATGGTAGATAACTTTAAAAGCTTTATTCAGTTCAACTTGATGACCTGTGTCAACCAAGTGAGCGAGGATAGAACTCTTAATCACTCTTACCTGTTCTTTGCTTAACCACGACGGATGGTGCTCTGTTATACGATGACGAACTTGCCGAATTTTACGTCCTATATAACTGACTCCACAGGAGCAGTTGGATCGATAAATACACATAGATTTGGTGAACTCAGGCAATCTGTCTTTATTGGTCGTTCTTATTGTGAGGTGGTTGTAAAAGATAGCATTTAGTCTGGCTGCATTAAATGCTTTTTGTACAGCTTTTCTTAATCTCTGAGTCACAATTTCTTCAGTAGTGTCATTTGCGAATTGATGTTCGAGATTTATGTCGAGGTATGAGCGGAGAGAGCGAATAGAGTAAGCGATTAGTCGGGCCTAGTGAGCGAAAACGTCTGGCACTCGATACTACGTGTCGGACTACTTTTGTCCACACCCCTCCTATAGGGTCAAGTCTTCAAAAAAGGCATGCGAGAACTTCCCTTACCTATCAGATCTCTACAATTTAGGGTCCCCCTAATGGATTAGAATCACAGGATAGCTTCTTGGTGTGCATCAAACATCATAAACGTTTTCTAACCTTAAGGACTTCAGTACGAAGCTCTTCACACTCATACTCTATTCGAAATCGCTGAGGGATAACGATACAAACCAGTCTTCAAACATTAACTAAGATAGCATATGGAAAACAATTTCTTAGAAGATTGCATCTTTAATCTTGTTACCACTTTTTTTATCTAGTGGGCCCGTAGTGTTTGGGATAAAAAGTAGCGAAACAGAAACTGGGAAAAAGTATTAAAATTGTTATTCATGTACAAAGAGAAAGTTCTTTGAACATTAGTGAACAGGAGAGACATAAGTCTTTGTCAATAATTCCAGTAAGTGTTTTTTTATTAAAAGAATCAGGATTAGATAAAGAGGAAGAATGTATCATAGATTTTGTAGCCAACTTGTCAGGATCATTAGAAGAGTCAGTATTGGATACAGGAAACTAAAATAGAGAAGAAAAACATAAATCCTTAAAAAATACATAAATGATTAACAAGTTACAGAAAATGAAGAACAAATACACACTAGGACGAAATGGCCGTCCAGTGCTTCCAGGTGTTCCATGGTGGTCTAGCTTCAATTGACTCATGATCTCAACTGTTGAAATACAAAATAATATATTTAATACAGTACAACAGGGTTTTAAGTGAACTAACACAAACTTGACCTAATGCTATCAACCATTTTTAAACCATTTAAAGCATTCACTTTAAGTATTTCAGTGAGAAAAGTAATAACACAGTGTAGGATAAGAATGCCAGATTAGTTGTCGGATATCTGATCAACAAATTACATACCCCTTCAATCAGTGATCTCAAATAAGATTTAAAAAACACAAAAATCACATAAATTTACGGATGACATTCTTATTGACGTCGATTCGTACAATTTATAACACCGGTTCCTTCTTTGTATCCGTACGGTTTCTTATATAGTTTATGCTCAATGACCAGTAATTTACAATTATATGCTAAAACTGAAAGCACATGAAATACTCACCACTCAACTGAAATACTCAATATATGATTCTACTAGTCTTACATAGATAAAAGTAGACAGCAATGAGTTACATAATCAATATGAAGATTGATGACGATACCACAATGATACGTGTGTGGGGGGGGGTATGCTACTGATGTCGACAGACATAAGTAGTATGTAACACCAATCTGAAGTGGAATGACTGTTAAAAGAAGATTGAACTGAAGAAAACGGAAGGGAAATTGAGGATAAAAGGAATCATGGACGATGTACAGGACAATTGATAGGAGACTTGTAAATAAAGTATTTAATGTATGGTTTTTACATTTTGTATTCAATGATAAATTGGTTCCCTCCATTTGGGTTCTCGTTCACCATACATTTACATAAGAAATAGATTTTAACAGCATGTAGCTAATTAGTTAAAGTTACTAAGGAGGCACCATTCATTTATTTATTTATTTTAACACATAGATATTGGTACAAGTAGGCACCAAATACATATGCACCACACAAATCTCATTCGATATGTGTGAGGGCTGTAATACTGCCTGGGTGCCCAAACCGAAGCATGTGGTTTTATTAGGGGGCTACACCCGGAGCCTTCGACTTGAAGGTCTGATCCACAAGGTAGTGGAGCAACGTCAGGAGATGCATTCCTATGGTAGACGGTGACCAACAATTGGTTCATACGTCATTTGTTCCCTCAAAATCCTGGAGCCCATGTGCACCATTGGTTTGGAATCAGGGTTTTCCAACTCCCCTAAGTGGACTCTCTATGTCCACCAACCCGGTTAAAGCGCCGAACATTCGCTTTTCCTCCTCTCAGTTTCGTAAACAACAGTAATGTTGGGAGAAGGCAGTGAGTAGGACTTCCCTGACAGAGGCTATATACGCGTGGCCATGTGAGAGCATTTGGAGAGGGAGAGCCGACTCTCCCCACTCTCGACCGTACCAGGGCATTTGGGGTCTCACCCCCCTTGCCGAATTGTCGAGCGTCTAGGCGCAATGACCTCTATTGTTCTGTCATCACCAGCTGTTTCGTCGGCTCTGATTCATCAGTCCATTGAATCCACCTTTGTAGCTGGCTAGTGTTCAAGCACTTCTCTGTTAGCTTTCTTGATGGTATGTCCAATAGAAACAAAGACGAGAAATGGAATGTATTGGGCTTATATTATAGAACTACTTCACTTAATAGTGAGTTTTTATAATAATCTTCGGTAGTTCGCTGATTATTTATATGTTGCTGCTAATTTCCTATCAACTGTCAGAGATTTTATCTAGGTTTTTGAGAAATACACTCCGAACGATAATCCCACTATATATATTTACTTATTTTAGGGATAACGTCAAAACCATACTTCCCTATCTTTTTAGATTTTCTATTACTATTATGTGCTGATTGATTTAATTAACCTCATTTCACTTTGATGTTAAATGAACCTAGAAGTAGGTGTGCAACCGTATTGTTGGAAATGTATGACGGAAAATCATATCTACGTAGCACGGTATAAGTTGACTAAATCCGGAGGTCAAGATTTTATTAGCTACGAACTACTTCACTGTCAAAGTATGAATTGACATAAACTGGTTTGAAGAAAACATTTTTTTATCACAGAAGATATGAACTGAATCTTAAACATTAAGAGATGGTCATTTAACGCGTTTGGAAGAAACCATGACCCGATCAACCGAAGGATCATCATTAATAACTGTTTAGAAATTGTTGATTAATTTTACACTAAAACGTCTGTTTTACTTGAATGATCAACATAATAATCAAAGACTTAATTCATATATTCAGACTACTTTTTAATGAACAGAAGAATACACTAATTACGCATTCATAATTTAGAAATGATTATGGATAATGTAGTCAGTGATAAAACAGATACTATGTCATGCTTCTTCCAAATAAATTCACAGAAGTAATTCATCAACCTTAATAAAATCTTACCAAATTGTATCCTTTTATAACAATACTAGTATGATGAATGCTCTTCACAAAATCGTTTATGAGAAGTAAGTAGCGGAACGTGGCGTAGAAGTTACTACAGCACATAACCGAAGAGAAAAGTTCCAAGAAGTCAAGAGCACGGTGTATGCAGAATAATTTGGAGACCAGAAAAGAAGCAACGAAAAACTATTTAGAACCAACTTCGACTGCAGAACCCTCAACAGGAGACAAATAGAAAACTGGTGACTAGTGTAGGAGCAAGCCGCTGACAGAAAGGATGTTTGCTTGACGAAATTACAGAACATTTATGCAATATGTACACCTAGTCTTTAGTCATCTATTTGCATCTTGTGTGTTCTGCAATCTAAGTTGGTTCTAGACTGTCTTTTCTCTCAGTCTTGTGAGTAACATTCATCACATTCACATACCCCTGTCGAATTATCGAGCCTCCAGGCGTACTGACCTCTGTTGTCTTGTCATCACCATCTGTTTCATTGGCTCTGATTCATCAGTCCATTGAATCCACCTTTGGAGCTGGGTAGTGTTCAAGCACTTCTCTGTTACCTTTCTTGACGGTATGTGCAATAGAAATAAAGAACAGACGTAAAGAGATCCGAACAGTATGAAGGGAAGCAGTAGTTCTTTTCAATAGGAGATCGAGTGAAATGTAGAGAATGAAAAGGGATAAGAGAAGGAGGATTTGGTTCAAGAAAATCGCTGCCAAAGTGCGGGGGACCATATGCGTACAACACAAGGTGCCATCGGCTTAGTCCTACACTAAAGACCTTTTGTATAAAATTAATAAAGGTTTCTCGGGATTATTTTAACTGACAAGTTATGTAGAGATTGGTTTGATTTTTTACGTTGTATTAGTTATAAATCGACCTCATGGAAATTGCCCCCAAATGCCCTGGTATGACCGAGAGTGGGGTGGGCCCGCCCTCCCCCTCGAAATGCTCTCACACGGCCACGCGTATACAGCCTCTGCCAGGGAAGTCCTACTCACTGTCTTCTCGTGGCAGGGGTGTTGTTTACGAAAATGAGAGGACGAAAAGCGAATGTCCGGTGCTTTGACCGGATCCCAAACCAATGGTGTACATGAGCTCCAATATCCTGAAGGAACAAATGGCGTATGAACCAATCGTTGGTCACCGGCTACCATGCGACTGCATCTCCTCACGATGGTCCACTGCCTTGTGGATCAGACCTTTAGGTCAAAGGCTCGGGATGTGGCCCTCTAAGAAAACCACCTGCTTCGGTCTGGGCACCCGGGCAGTATCACAGTCCACACACACAAATATGGTGTGGCACATATATATTTGGTGCCCTCTTGTACCAATATTTATGTGTTGAAATAAAATAAAATAAAAATCATGGAAATTATATTGTGATGAATGAAACTGACAGATTTAAGAATACTTCAATGTTTTCAGGAATAAAAATTTCATTTCAAGATTGAGAAGTGTATGAATTATATGAATCATATATGGTCACTGACTTATAGAACAATAAGAATTTCTAATATAACATGAAAAATATTGACAACCTACATGACAGAAACTACATGTAATTTGAGAGTCATTTTCCAGAACAATTTTCGAAGATGTTCTATATGGGGAAAAAAAGACATTACGATTAAAACAAATGAGTAAATCTTGAAAAGACATGCTATTTATCTATTTGATGACAAAAACGGATATATTTCGAAGATAGGGTTATTGACTTACTTACTCCCAGTGGAGCGAGCATAGGCCGCCAACCAGCATTCTCTAACCCACTATGTCCTGCGCCTTTCTTTTTAGTTCTATCCCCATCGTTATTCATTTTTCTCATGTCTGTCTCCATTTCTCGGCGTAATGTGTTCTTTGGTCTTCCTTTTCTCCTTTGGCCTTGAGAATTCCGAGTGAGGGCTTGCCTTGTGACGCAGTTGGGTGCTTTCCTCAATGTGTGTCCTGTCCACTCCGAGTGCTTCTTTCTGATTTCTTCCTCCGCTGGAATCTAGTTTGTTCTCTCCTACAGCTGTTAATAAACACGTGTATCTTCTGAATGATGGCTTTCGTAGTTCTCCAATTTTCCACCCCATACAGTAGAACTGCCTTGACATTTGTATTGGAAACTCCGTTGGAGCCCCTCGGGGGGCTACTGCCGGTCCCAAGTTTGGATAAAGGAAGAGGGTTGGGCATGGGGTTAGCGACCTTATTCCGTAGAAAACTAACTCGCTAAAAAAACGCTAGCCAGAATTACAACTACATAAATAGATGTAGTTTGATTAAACTGGAATCATTTAGTTGCCTAAATCATGAATAATGTAAACTTAAACGCTAGTAATTTATTGATTAGAATTTAAAAACGTAAAAAGTTGAGCATGATAGATTACAACTGTATAATGTGAATCTGGTTACCAGATATGTTACTAAGTCGTTCCACTGAATCAAACAGTAATCGTATTGTACATAGTACTAGATTCTAGATACTAAAATCGATCACAATGGCATCGGTGTATACACTCTTTGTCTTCTCTTAAACTATGAGATTAAAATCTTTCTTTCCATCAACTAATTCTTTCTCACTATACTATGTCCTTATATACAATCTTCCTTTTATATATTACCACCACTAAATTGACTACTTCTATGAATTTGGTGTTCATCTTGTTGTACTGAGGTATGGCAACTTGGACCGATGCATATATGTGCTTGATCCTACATGGTGGTTGACTGACTGACAAGATTGTTGGGATAAGATTTTTACATAGCAGTTAATGAACGTTATTTTACTAAATTATTTTAATAACTCAATCTGATATTGTATAGTATATGAAACAACAGAGACATAATAAACTTTCTTTGTATCATAAAGCTAATTACTTTATTTGCTCTTTTAAATTTACCTTGGAAACTTGAAATGTAAAATCATACGAACATAACTCGATAAAATTTGATTGACCATAAAGTCTACAGATAATACATAACATTAGTTACTACTTGGTGATTAATCACATCCATGTACAGTATAACAATATAAAACACAAGTGGATAAAGTGAACTAACCTAAGAATAGTTCCAGTAGTCGATGGGAATCCACCAGTTTGCAATGTAGCTAAGAAATCTTGAGTTAATCTTTCCAATGTATTGACATTAGGATTTTTAAGAACAATTGATGTTAATGGATCATTGGGTGTAACAAATTCCAAATGCATAAAATGAGCGTATAAAGCTATTTCTTTCGCCAGAAAATCACGTAATGGTCTAACAATTGTTATATCTTGGTATCGTTCATCTAAGAATGACTATAATAAATTAAAGAAAACGTTTTATTAGTCATTCGACTAAAAGTGACAAAGAACTAATGCAAACTTGCATCAAATCACACGCCAATAATGATCTATTGAACACTTATAACAGTGAAGTTAAATTTTACCCCATCACAGTTGCTAGGACGCGAGTTTAAAGTTCACAGTTTAGCAAGTTATCGATTTGGCTTGTAAACTATGATACCTCACTTCGATTTACCGCTTGTTTTCATTGATGAGCAATTTAAATCGTTGATTTAAGAGAATAAAAAGTGGGAAACGCGATATTACACAAACTACATGAAAAGATAAGATATAGACATTTATTAATCGGTTTATTTACTTTAGCCAACCAAAAGAGTTGCAACGGTAGACTAGCTTGAAAACGCTGTAGAGATATGTGCACAATAATCAGATACGATTGTGATATTAAGGTAATGGGTGATGAATTTAAAATTTAAATCTCAGTACGAATACCGCGACTAACGGATATCCATACATGCCTAACTGCAGGGAATCAGAAAAGACGACACATCCCCCCCCATATCTTAACAAAACATAGAGTTAAAACAAGAAATGAGCATCAGTTATTTATCAGTAGTTTCCAAAATATTCGATGTGGGAGATGAAACAAGAAATAACGAACGATCCTACAATAAAACAGCATACCACAAACTGTGAGTCGGGACTTAGTGTTCAATTTTGAATACATCGTAACAACAACACCTTGAAAGTTACATTATTTGACACCGAGAAATGGTGATGTTTTTATAAAGCGACCCGATAAGGCTGTGGGTATCGCATCACTAAATCTGTATGACCATAAAATTTTCATGAATATATCTGTACTAACTTGAGTACACACTTAAACCATATGATTTGTTCAGCCAAGGAATCCTTTTGACGAGCTTGTTTACGAAACTGTACAGCCGTATGTATATATAATCTAAACGTAATACTGCAGACGATATTACCTGGCTAAAGTGCTACGAAAAACATTATATAGCCTCACTATGAATATCCTACACTAGCCATATATTATTACGCAACTTCATACACAAGTCACCTCGATAGACAAATCAGATACGGATACATTTATTTATCTAATTCTATGAAACTAAATCCATCGGTCGTCTATCGTCTCCTGACGCATTCGAGAGCAACTCCCAGGGTGGAACAGTAAAGGACGAAATTCCATCATAAGTAACATCCTCTATTTTACAACAGCTGGTTGACTATGATCATAAAGTTTTGTGACCAACATTCAAGATTATTAACGAGGTCGAACCGAATCCACCAAGAGGTTTACTTACATATTTTTGTACTAAAAGAGCATTAGAGATATAACATGAGACTAAAAATATATGTACAAAAATAGTTTGTAAGGTCGTTAGTGTCAGTTTGTAGCTGTATCTTGGTGGAGTTTTGTTTTGTTGTAGCTGTATCTTCAACCATTAATCATCTCTTGCATGTCCTGTTGTCATTTGGGATCAGCTTAATGATTTAGTCTATATATATTAATTTATTTTACTCGTTATTAAGATCTACACCATAAATACTACTCACTAGAAACATGCACATACTAACAATTAATATCTATCTACGAAATGATATTTATAAAAACATACTGTTATACAGCTTTTGAAAATAAAATTGTCGAAGACGAAATTTTTGTTGAAAGAAACCAATAAAACCAATTCAGTTTGAAGAAAGGGACAATTGAATTTGTATCTATTGGATCAACACAAGTCATTGGAGTTAATTGGTACATTTCCCAATTAACCAGACAATTCCACCACCTTAAAACTTAGTAGAATGTTCAGTTTGGGGTTGTGGAGATTGTTAAATTCCATTAAAATTATCAATCGATCAATGTTAGACCAATATTCAAAACCTCGAGGCACTAGACAGCCGTTTCGTCCTAGTATGCGACTTCTTAGAAGTACGCATCTATGATCGTGGGACATAGACTGGATTAAAGCATGCTCAATGCACGATTGCTTTAGTGCACATTGATTGGCTAATTCTTATCCAATCAGCACTAGTCGACACTTGGAGAATACTCTAGAATCTTCTCATGTAAAAACTATAGATATACTAACGTCTTTCCTATTGTGCTTCTTACTTCCATCTAACCTTGTTATTTGGAATATAATCTCCTGTTCTGATTTGGGGTCTTGTCGAGTGAATCAGTGTCCGAGAATACTAAGCAATAGGAATAGCTGGGTCATAAGCGTAAGAAAGAGATTATAACAGCGGGATTGTGATTTTCAATAGTGGTCTAACACTGATCGGTTCATGATTTCAATAGAATGTAATAGAACTATATTTTATTTGATTTAAACACATAAACATTGGTACAAGGGGGGCACCAAATAGATATGCACCACATAAATCATTCGATTTGTTTGAGGGTTGAGATACTGTCCAGGTGCCCTAACCGAGACAGATAGTTTCCTTAGAAGGGGCCACACTCAGAACCTTTGACTTAAAGGTCTGATCCACAAGGCAATGGAGCAACGTCATGAGATGCAATCCCATGGTAGCAGGTGACCAACAATAGATCTATACGCCATCTGTCCCTTCAGGATCCTGGAGTCCATGTGCACTATTGGTTTGAAATCAAAGTTTTCCAACTCTCTAAGATAGATCCTGCATATCCATCAACCTGGTTAAAGTGCTGGACATTCACTTTTTGTCCTCTTAATTTCGTAAACAATAGTAATACCGCAAGAAGGCAGTGAGTAAGACTTCCTTGGCAGTGATTGTACACATTTAGCCAAGTGAGGGGCATTTGGAGAGGAAGAGCTGATTCTCTCCCCACTCTTGTCCGTACTAGGGCATTTGAGGGCAAAATGATAATGTACACTAAACAAACAATTGTCATTTAATGAACTTATTAATCAAAAAGGTAACAATAAGAAAAACATTATTATTATACTATAATCGCTTACTGTTTGTATACTGCTATGATTTCCACGACCTTCTATAATTTCTAATAAATATTTCACTGTAACTCTATTACTACATTCACCTAAAACTAGATATTTACAATCAAGTTTTCTTGCACAATCAATTAATAAATTTAATCGATAATAATTATGAAATCGTTGTTGACTACTAAGTAATGAAGATGTTAATTTACTTGGCCATTTATTCATTTCTGAAATCTTCACAAACAATCAATTAATTCATAAAGAAAAAGAGAAAGAATATCAATTTACTTCATTCATAGAAATATTATGATATTCAAAGGGACTATTCTTCATGTTATTTGTAATGAATTTTAAATGATCTTCTGAATCATATGGTTCTTTCAATGAAAGCGTCAAAGATAATATATACAACTTATTCACATACCAATCAGATGAAAGACTTTTGGGATTATCCTTCTAGTTCGTTTCTTCATTGCATTATCATGATTATACTGAAAGATTACATTATCTATATTATTATAAAAAGGTAATCATTACTTGTATGATTAAGTTTAATAAAGTAGATGAATTTTGACCACCAGAATATGCTATAGCCATATTATTATGATTATTATTACTACTATTATTCATTTGAGTAGTTGTTAGTTTATATTTTCCAAATATCATATTGATTTTATGTAAACAATGATGAATAAAACATGATCTAATTCAATTCATGAAGATAAAAGTTTAAATTACTTGCATAAAGATGGATCATCTTTTCTTATTAATACAGATGATTGTGATTGACATTTAATACAATAAAATAGTCTATTTGAATAAAAATTCAATTCGATTGATTACCTTTCATTCTTTTTAATGATTGAATTGAATACACAAGAACAATCTTCGTCTTCTTCTTGACTACACATTAGATGATGATTATGATAATTGTCTAGATGGACAAGAAGTAACTACTACAATTAAATTTTACAAAGGATTGATATCTGAAAATGTAAAGTTTCAAATAGTAGATATAGAATATATACACATAATATTACTACAATCTCCACAAAAACCCATTTGATATTAATCAACATATGCTCACTAGTGACTGGCTTCACGAGGTATATCCTGGAGTTCTAGTGAGAAGTAGTGACCAATGGAGTTCAACCAGGTCTGTTGTGAGACAGTAATGGTGAATGTGTCGCTCAATTTCGTGGATTAGTTGAAGTTAGACATTAACACCGTTGGATGCCGGCTCAGTGTTCTAATGGTTGAGTGCTCGGGCGCGAAACCAGTAGGTCCTGGGCTCGAATCTCGCAGGGGGCGAGATCGTGGATGCGCACTGCCGAGGAGTCCCACAATAGGACGAAACGGCCGTCCAGTGCTTCCAGGTTTTCCATGGTGGTCTAGCTTCAACTGACTCATGATCTTAACCATTGAAATTACATAACATATTTATTTATTTGAATACATAAATATTAGTACAAGAGGGCACCAAATAGATATGCCCTGCTTCGGTTTGGGCACCCGAGCAGTATCACAGCCGTCACACATATCAAATGAGATTTGTGTGGCGCATATGTATTTGGTGCCTCCTTGTACCAATATCTATATGTTAAAATAAATAAAATAAAAAAAATAGATATGCGCCACACGAAACAATGAGAATTCGAAGAGAAAAGAAAAAGAAGAACAATAACGACCACAGATTAGTGTAAGGTAGTGTAATAATAATAATAATAATAATAATAATAATAATAGTAGTAGTAGTAGTAGTAGTAGTAGTAGTAGTAATAATAATAATAATAATGATAATAATAATAATAATGGGGGAAACGGAAAGGTACAATCGGAAGAAATCTATCAGTGAAGGAAGAAACAATCATTCTTTTTTAATGAAGTAAAAGGTTACAGCAGGATTGCCACTGGCTTCTATTCTGAGCCATATCTGATAACGTCTCTAGTCATTGTGTTGTACCATCTCTTTAGGACCCCAGCCAGGGAGTCGTAAAGGACAAACAGAAGCCATCCCTTTGTAGCTTTCTTTCATACCACGACACCATGTCATACACTGACCACCTCTCCGCTTTTTACAACCAGTCCAAGAGTTGGCAAATAATGCACGACGTGGAATTCTCTGGGACGAACAAATTTGATGAAATGTCGATATTTATGGAAAATACTTGTCTTGCTTCGATCAACACATGATATAAGGTACAATTCATTAGGAAAAAAAGAACTTTTATAGGTGTCAGGAGTATAGAATTGTTAAGAATGGAATTATGGTAGTAAGACTACAAAATAAACTATCTACCACTGATAATGATAATGTACAAATATACGCTAATAAAGATAAAGAGTCAAAGTAATAGTAGTATCAATAATTTTATTTAATATTCGACATGGAGAGTATTGTTCAATGGAAATAAATGACGAGATATCTGAGAAGAAATATTAGAGCTCAATATCTAGTAAAAGATAAAAAACAAATACTTTCGAGCTGACTTCGGGTTACAAGTAGTGGCTACAATTATCACACAGACCCCAACCAGTTAGTCTGCATTGATGTGTAGACATAAGAGTGGCTATTTGATGCACTTGCCTTTGATTTGTTGAACAACCTTGTGACGATGGATTATAATCCAGAGGGTTATGTCTAGACTTACTGATATACCAGATGTCCTAATTAAACATGTTTTCATTGTTCTAAACCCTCAGTCAAATTAGACAAGATTGTTCAATGTAGGCACAATCATCAGTAGTTTTCTAGAAACGGCTGTGCAAGAATTGGATGGTGTTTGTATAGGTCAAGTACCGTATAAAGGCTACACGACTCACAGCACGTAATTATCTTTTTATTATGCTATGAAATATAGGCTCTCCACGTCGCAGTTGGAAGGTAAGAGATTGGCGTCCGTAATTACGGCATTTTCTTTGCACCATCTTTTACAAAACTACCAAGAATCTATGCTTAAATTCGCTCTGCGATGAGGTTTACGACCATAATTCGCGATTATCATTGGGACTCCAGACAAAAAGCATGAACTTAACAGGGCTTAGTCGCATAGTGAGGGTTAAATGGGTTTTCATTTGCCCCATTCTATCCATTTTTCAACCTAATCCCATGCTAATTACCGTTACCGCCAGAAGTATTTGAAGTATGTTATGTATGATATCATCATCTTAAGTAGGTAGCTAGCTTAGCTGATTTATTGCACAGCCTGGCCTAATGAAGTTTATGGACACGAAATCTATCTGTTGTAGAGATGACCCATGATTAATTTTCAGATCATACATTAAGGACGATGGATACATCTTCAATATGTACGCATTCGGCTTTCTGAGTAAGACTGCTTTTATTGTTTCTACACAACCTCGTAGAGATAAGCGTTCAAACTAAATGCCCCATACAAACCCTTAGTCAATATTATAATAAGTTTAGCAGCTAAAGGAAATAACTCACTTAGCCCCAAATTATTCAGTTTCCGAATATTCATCGATAACTTGAATGAGGCATTGATGTTAGCTTATCGTCTAACAGTAGAAGACTTTTAGTGACATCTTGGTATGAATCAATGACTTAGATGAATTTTATATTTTCCTAGAAATCTTTGATATACAGTTAATGTCTATCCATTTTTCCCATTTATTCATTTCACTTTTAGGTTTTACCATCTTTGTACTTTTAACGATATATTGCTTGTCCACTGCTGGATTAGGAGGCATTTTAACTACTTAATAGCTTTTACGACATGGTTTATCCAAAACGACATGACTTAGAAGTAAAATAGGGAGAAATGGTTGCTTTTTAAATGGTGATTTTATGTGAAAGGTAATATCACAGAAATTTTTCCTTCTTTTCTTTATTCCAAATAAACTCCCAATCAAATCACTTAATTGTTGAGTCATTTAATAACGGTCGCTCCTAGATCATATAGATTGTTTAAAAACGCTGTGGATTTTATTCATGGTGTTCTTAGATTGTTGTTTCGAGACGTTTTACCGACTCTTAAGGATAGTTTGCATCAATATCATAAGAGCCATATGAAATAACTTTAACAAGCATTCCTGACCTATTTAATGATCCACGTATAAACTAATATTCCCACGAATGTATCTAGGGCAAAAGTAGTCTGCTTTAGGACAATAATACTCAACGGCTAAGTGCCTTCCGACAAGCAACTTCATCCTACTCGTTAAAGCTGTCACGTTTGGAATGTTCCTTTGAGATGTATTAGCGTCCTTGAGATGGAGCTCTAATTCGTGTTGATTTGCACTGCAACTGGACACGGAGTACTTAAGACCTTTTATTTGTGATTCTATCTGACGTTGAAACGCTGTGTCGTGCGTTTTGATTTGTTTGTAGAGGTCACTTTCAGGTTAGTGGATTCCCTATTTTTAGCAGGTGACGATTTCGCAACTATGATGTCAAGCTTCAAAGCTAGATCGACAATGAAAACTACATGATCTATTGTACACGATAGACCAGAGTCTTCTGGATCACTAACGTCGTCAAAAAGCGCGAGTACAATTTTCAGCACCTTGATTGCATTTTGACAGATGGATTTTCATGAGCAACATACTTTGCACAAACATCGTGAAACCGATCTGCAACACAATTTATTTGTGGTAGGAGTTGGTCCAATCAGTGTTTTGTGGTACTATAAATTGCAGCCGTCACAATGTATTACATTCTTTAACTGGAAGCAACAGGTTGGTCAACCACAACTACCATTTGTTCTCACCATTTATATGAAGAGACTTCCTAGAAACGTATACACAAACAAAAAGGACACTAGGAGACACAACCTTTTGTAAGGCGAAAGAAGAACAAGTACATAGACCTATGGGAAGTCTTGTGACTTGATTGGCACACTCACTGATCAGGTTGAGTTCGTTCGAAATATATCACCACTGTTCAATGTCATGAGGCAGCTTAACTTCTGCAAACTAAGCTATTAGTTCAAAGACATCGTGAACTATAGTTAAAAATTCTGAGTTGCCTGTGTACGAGTCAGGATACTTCTTGAGTGACTCCCCAACTAACCACATACTGCTTGATTTTATTCTGATGATCGATTTTTTTAATCATGAGGCGGTCTGGATCAACGTCCTGCGATTTGCTTTGGATTTACATGTGTATGTCGACCATGACTGTGCGCATGGGCTTAGGGTTGAGTAACACCTTCAAGGTCGGGTGAACAAGTTGTGTAGAGATCGGATTGTTACTGCTTGCAACTTCACAGGGCAGAGGTACCAGTTGAGTTTACTTCTGAACCTGTCTGAAACTTAGGGGACTTGATACATAGAGAACATTTAATGAGGCTATGGCTCTTTCACGAAATTTCAAAAGACCAGTTTTTTTTAACTACGCCTGGAGCTTCTCTGGGACTACTGCCGGTCCCAAGCTCGGATAAAGGAGGAGGGTTGGGCATAGGGTTAGCGACCCCATCCCGTAGAAAACTAACTCGCTAAAAAACGCTAACCAGTAAGTAACTGTTTTTACGCCATTGCTACCGGTTGCTGGTTAGAAAATTTTAGTCTGTGCAAATCTGTTTTATTGCGGGATGTAGGTTCGATAAGCTGAGCATTATGAATCTGGAGTTTAAGGTTATTTTGTTGTCTTTTCTCTTGGATTCGGTAGTTTTAAACTAAGAGGTTTGGGAGTGTTTATCAACTTTGCAAACGAATGTCTGTGTCGGTGAATCAGATCCCATTAAATAGAGCCGGATTTGGTTTTGCAATATGAGGATAGCTACCAGTACCCATCGAAAGGGTTTTTAACTAACATCTTGCAGCGTCCAAGAGCCTTAAAGGGACTGCAGGAGCAGGAACCCTTCGTAAAGATGAGGCTTTTTTGATACTTTAACTGAATATGAGACAAAATTCATGATGAACATCGGGCCATTTAACATTTGGTCCTTTT